CTGTTGCAGCCAAAACAAGATTTAAGTTGAGGCAACTTAAAAAGATATTTATAATGAGTTTCTATAGCCTACAGTACACACTCAAATGCATTTTTCCCCAGCAGAAAACCATGTCCTAATTCTGCCTTTATCTGAAATACTTGGGAACAGACTGTTTTGGGTTTCAGATTTATTTATTTTGGATTTTGGAATACCTCTGAGATGCACATACATCCATAATAATATATGCTGAAGATGGAGTCCAAGTCTAAACATTAAATCCATTAATGCTTCATGTACCCTTTATACACATAGAATGAAGGAACCTTAACACAATATTTTAACTTTTTGTGCATGAAACACAGTTTGTGTACAATATAGCATCAGAAAGCAAAGATGTCACCATACAGACGATTTTGAAGTATTCTGGATTTTGGCACCCTGGATAAGGGATGCCCAACCTGTAATGCAAAAGCTGTTCTTGGAAACTGAAAGGGGGAGCCTCTCACAATTAAAGCTTCCTCCATACCACAAATATTTTTTCTTCTTCCTACAGAAAACTTTATGTCATAGAAAAGAGATCTAGGGTGCATCTGCACTATAAATTTAATGCAGTTTGGCACTGCTTTACCTGTTATGGTGCAATGCCCTGGAATCATGGCAGCTGCAGTTTTTACAAAGTCTTTTTCACTGAGACAAAGCAGCTAAAGTGTTGTCAAATTGTATTAATCCTACAGCATTGGATCCCTAAGAAATGCTTCTTACTAGCATGTTAGTTTTCAGTATGCAGCTTATTCTGTGCTGGTAACTTTTCCGCCTTCTGAAGAAACCTTTGCTTAGGTGTGTCTCCACTTGAAATCTGAAAAGAGCAAAATCCAAAGGTGTACAGTGACGATTCTATTAAGAGAACCTGGGAAACGTTAGACTCATTTACATGAAGAAAATCTAGTAAATACTAAACTCAATACCATTAAGACGGAGGTTCTCAATCTGTAGGGCCCCATATGTTTTGGTCTTCAACTCCCAGGAATCCTAACAGCTTGTAAACTGACTGGTATTTCTGGGAGTTGTAGGCCTAAACACCTGGGGACCCACAGATTGAGAACCACTGCATTAAGAGAACCCAGGACATACTAGACTCAATTCCAAGAGAAGAACCAAGAAAATTTTAGACCAAATTACATTAGAACTTAGGAAATATTAGACTCAATTCCATTAGAAGAACCTAGGAGACTCAGTTCCATTAGGGCAGGGGTTCCCAAACTTTGGTGCTCCAGGTGTTTTGGATCCCAACTCCAATCATCCCCAGCCAGCAATCAGGAATTCTGGGATATGAAGTCCAAAACATTTGAAACACCAAAATTTGGGAAACACATTAGGAGAACCTAGGAAACGTTGGATTCAATTCCATTTAAAGAATCCAGGAAATACTAGACTCAATTCCAAGAGGAGAACCTAGCAAGAATTGATTTAAATTCCATGAGGAGAACCCAGTAAATACGAGACTCAATTTCATGAAGAGAAGTGAGTAAATACGAGTTTCAGTTCCATTAGAAGAACCAAGGAAATATAAGACTCAGTTTCATGAGGAGAACCTAGTAAATATGAGATTCAATTCCATGAGGAGAACCTACGAAATATTATTCAATTCCAGGAGTAGAATCTAATAAATACGAGACTCAATTCCATGAGGAGAACCAAAGACATATTATTCAAATCAATGAGTAGAACATAGTAAATATGAGACTCAATTCCATGAGGAGAACCTAGTAAATGCAAGATTCAGTTCCATTAGGAGAACTTAGGAAACACAGGATTCAATTCCATGAGGAGAACCTAGCAAATACAATATACACTTCCTTTAGAAGAACCCAGGAAATATTACTCAATTCCATGAGGAGAACCTAGTAAATACGAGACTCAATTCCACGAGGATAATCTAGTAAATACATGATTCAGTTCCATGAAGAGAACCTAAGAAACACTGGATTCAATTCCATGAGGCGAAACTAGCAAACACGAGACACAGTTCCATTAGAAGAACTGTGTCTTCTATTAGACTCAATTCCATGAGGAGGACCTAGTAAATACGAGACACAATTCCACGAGGAGAACCAAAATAAATATTATTCAATTTCATGAGGGGAACCAACGTAGTAAATACAAGATTCAGTTTCATTAGGAGATCCTAGGAAACATTGATTTAAATTCATTGATGAAAACCTTGGAAACACTGGATTCAATTCCATGAGGAGAACCTAGTAAACCAGGCATGAGCAAACTTTGGCCCTCCATGTATTTTGGACTTCAACTCCTACAATTCCTAACAGCTGACAGGCCGTTAGGAATTGTGGGAGTTTAAGTCCAAAACATCTCCATCAGAAGAACTTAGGAAATATTATTCAGTTCCATGAAGAGAACCTTGTAAATATGAGACACAGTTCCATGAAGAGAACCAAGGAAATAGAAGACTCAATTCCACAAGGAGAATCTAGTAAATACAAGATTCAGTTCCATGAAGAGAACCTAGGAAACATTGGATTGAATTCCATGACGAGAAACTAGCAAATACGAGACACAGGTCCATTAGAAGAACCTAGGAAATATTAGACTCAATTTCACAAGGAGAACCTAGTTAATATGAGACTCAGCCCCATGAGGAAAACCAATGCAATATTAGACCCAATTCCATGAGGAGAACCAATGAAATATTATTCAATTCAATGAGGAGAACCTACGAAACACTGGATTCAGTTCCATGAGGAGAACCTAGCAAATATGACACAATTCCATTAGAAGAACTTAGAAAATATTACTCAATTCCATGAGGAGAACCTAGTAAATATGAGATTCAGTTCCATTAGGAGAATCTAGGAAATATTCCTTTATTCCATGAGGAGAACCTAGTAAACACAAGACTCTGTGAAATATTAGACTCAATTTCATGAGGAAAAGCTAGTAAATATGAGATTCAGTTCCATTAGAAGAACCTAGGAAATATTCCTTTATTCCATGAGGAGAACCTAGTAAATACAAGACTCAGTGAAATATTAGACTCAATTCCATGAGGAGAAGCTAGTAAATCCAAGATTCACTTCCATTGGAGAACCTAGGAAACATTGATTTAAATTCCTTGAGGAAAACTAGAAAACACTGGATTCAATTCCATGAGGAGAACCCAGTAAACCGGTCATGGGTAAACTTGGGCTCACCAGGTGTTTGGGACTTCAACTCCTACAATTCCTAACAGCCGGGAGGCTATTAGGAATTGTGGGAGTTGAAGTTCAAAACACCTCCATTAGAAGAACCTAGGAAATATTATTCAATTCCATGAGGAGAACCTAGTAAATATGAGACACAGTTCCATGAAGAAAACCAAGGAAATATTAAACTCCATTCCATGAGGAGAACCAACTTAGTAAATACAAGATTCAGTTCCATTAGATGAACCTAGGAAATATTACTCAATTCCATGAGGAGAACCTAGTAAATACGAGATTCAGTTCCATTAGGAGAACCGAAGAAATATTGATTTCAATTCCTTGAGGAAACACAGGATTCAATTCCATGAGGAGAGCCTAGCAAATACAAGATACACTTCCATTAGACGAACCTAGGAAATATTACTCAATTCCATGAGGAGAACCTAGTAAATACGAGACTCAGTTCCATGAGGAGAACCAATGAAATATTAGATTCAGTTCCATGAGGAGAATCTAGTAAATACAAGATTCAGTTCCATGAAGAGAACCTAGGAAACACAAGGAGAACCTAGTAAACCAGGCATAGGAAACTGTGGCCCCAGGTGTTTTGGACTTTGACTCTCACAATTCCTTACAGCAGGAGTTAGAAGCTGAAGTCCAAAAAAAACTCAGGGCCCTTCCACACAAGCCCTGTATCTCAAAATATCAAAGTAGAGAATTCCACAATTCCACAGATATATAAACCCAATTTTCCTAATTCCAACAGACCTCACAGCCTCTGAGGATGCTTGCCATAGATGCAGGGGAAACGTCAGGAGATAATGCTTCTAGAACATGGCCGTGTAGACCAAAAAACCTGCAACAACCCAATTCCACAATATCTGCTTTGAACTGGAATATATGGCAGTGTGGACTCAGATGTTGTTTCATTCGTTCAGTCGCTTCTGACTCTTTGTGACCTCATGGACCAGCCTACACCAGAGCTTCCTGTCAGCTGTCACCACCCCCAGCTCCTTCAGAGTCACTTCAAGGATCCCATCCATTCATCTTGCCCTTGGTGGCCACTCTTCCTTTTTCCTTCCATTTTCCCCAGCATCATTCTCTTCTCCAAGGTATCCTGTCTTCTCATGATGTGGCCAAAGTATTTCAACTTTGTCTCTACTATCCTTCCCTCCAATGAGCAGTCGGGCTTCATTTCCTGAAGTATGGACTGGTTGGATCTTCTCGCGCTCTCAGAATTTTCAAAAGTATCTATCTTCCTTCGCTCAGCCTTCCCTATGGTCCAGCTCTCACATCCATAGGTGACTACAGGGAATATCATTGCTTTGACTATGCGGATCTTTGTTGCCAGTTTGGACTGGTTAGATCTTCTCGCGGTCCAAGGCACTCTCAGAACTTTCCTCCAACACCCAGTTCAAAGCAGATATTGTGGGATTTTCTGCCTTGATACTCTGGGATATATAGGGCTATGTGGAAGGGCTCTCAGTTCCAACAGGAAAACCCAGGAAACAGGGGAAGAGCCTAGGAAGTGTCAGGTTGCCTTCCATAAGTATGTCTAAGAAAGAAGGTATTGAAAGAGAAGAGGAGGAGGGAAAGAAGGGATCCCAGGCTGGAGGGGGAAAGAGGAGGAGGAGGAGGAGGAATGTCTGCCTCTCTCCCTCCCTCCATCCTTCTCAACAAAGTGCCAAAGAAAGCAAATGGAGAAGGAGCAAAGGAGGAGGAGGAGAGCCAAAGTTTCCGGGCAGACAAAGGGAGCGCTTCTTGGGAGCCCAGCCTCGCCTTTCCTTGGGAATCCAAGAGACAGAGAGGGATACTTACTCCCAGCAGGCACACTTTCAGCTCCCGTATGGCCATCATCTGCGAGAGGAGGAGGAGGAGGAGAAGGAGGAGGAATGGTCATCCTCTGGAGGAGGCCAGGCAGCAGGAGCGAGATGGCTCTCCCTTCTTCCTCTACTTTTCCTCCTCCTCCGTCTTCTTCCAAGGGACCCGGGCTGCCTCAGCAGCTGCGGCTATTTCTGGGCAGCCTCTGCCCGCCTCGGTCACATGAGCCGCCGCAGCTCCTCCTCGCGTCCTTTTGGGGTTTTCCTCCTCGAGGAAACGCTTCAGCAGTCGAGTTCAGCAGGCGGCGGGTCCCATCCTTGGGCTGCTGCTGCAGCTCAGGGTCCTTCCTTCCTTCTTCCCTTCCTTTCTTCCTTCCTTCCTTCTGAGAGGCCAGGAAAGAAGTCCTCACAAGACCCGCCCATTTCCCATTTCCCATTTCTCTCTCTCTCTCTCTCTCTCTTCATGCATTCATTCCTCTGGGCGGCTGCTAAATTGTGGAAACAGGCTCTGGAAGAAAGGAAGGGAGGATGTGTGTGTGTACATACATTTTTTTTTTTTAGGTTCAAACAGACTAGAAGGCTGGTTCGACCTGTAAAAGTAAAACACCAACAAAGTCTGGGTCGCCATCTGTCGGGAGTGCTTAGACTGTTTTTCCTGCATGGCAAGAGGTATGACTAGATCAGGCGTCCTTAAACTTTTTAAACAGAGGGCCAGGTCACAGTCCCTCAAAATGTTGGAAGGCCGGATTATAATTTGAAAAAAAAAAAAAAACCATGAATGAATTCCTATGCACACTGCACACATCTGATAAAGCAGGGGTCTTCAAACTAAGACCTGAGGGCCAGATGCAGCCCTCCAAGGTCATTTACCTGGCCCTCACTCAGGGTCAATCTAAGTGAAACTACTTGAAAGCACACAACAGCACCAATCCTATCTCATCAGCCAAAAGTCGCCTGAGGGCTGAGAAAAGCGGTATAGAAATAAAGTAAATTAATAAAAAATAAATAAAAGCAGGCCCACACTTCCCATTGAAATACTAATACATTTATATTTGTTAAAATTGTTCTTCATTTTAATTATTGTATTGTTTTAAAGTGTTATTTGCACTACAAATAAGATATGTGCGGTGTGCATAGGAATTCATTCATGCTTTTTTCAAATTATAATCTGGCCCTCCAACAGTTTGAGGAACTGTGACCTGGCCCTCTGTTTAAAAAGTTTGAGGACCCCTGTTATAAACAATACAATAATTAAAATGAATTAAAACTCCCACAATCCTAACAGCCTATCCAGTCGGAGCTGTATGAGTTGTATTCAAGTCCAGTCGGAGTTAAATATTAAGACCATCTTAGGACCTCATCACACTAGAACAGTGGTTCCCAATCTTTTTTTGACCAAGGATCACTTTGATCAGTGACCACTCTCCAACATCAATACCAAAAGAGTTACAAATCAGCTTTTGGTCAACTTTAGATTCGGTTTGGGATGCTGATTCAGAAAATTGCATTGGATAGACCACATCAGCTCTAGTTTCTGATACAGAACATATGCCAGGGTCAGTGACAGGGAAGAGTGGCAGGTGGTGCAAAAAGGAGTGGAAATAAAATAAAAAGGAAGGAAGCTCGCAGACCAGATTTTTTTCCTCACAGCCCACTAGTGGTCCACGGCCCACAGGTTAAACTGCTCAGTGAAACAGGTTCTTGGCCTCACTAAACTACAAACACCAGAATTCTGCGGGAAGCAGCAATTGGATTTAAAGTGGATCCATGCTCTAGTGTGATGAGGCATTTTGAGACAGTTGAGCAGCATAAAAGAAAGATACAATAAGAAGAAATAAAGATTCAAGAGCCTCAATTTGGCCAGAACTGTGTCTCTCAAAAGACTTTACCTCTCCTCATAAAGACTTTGTAGTGAGACTCAAGAAGAAAGTCTACAATTCTTGGCAGTTAATACATTCTTGTTTGATTCAACTATATGGTGTCGGATCTGTTTCCTGCACAGCCAGTTCACTTTCCAAGTAGTTAAGATAGTGTAGGGGTAGAACAGTGCTATGTTAATTAGTAATCATAGAGTTGTAAGAGACCTCTTGGGCTATCCAGTCCAACCCCTGCCAAGAAGCAGGAAAATCACATTCAAAGCACCCCAGACAGATGGTCATCCAGCCTCTGTTTAAAAGCCTCCGAAGAAGGAGCCTCCTCCACACTCTGGGGCAGAGGGTTCCACTGCTGAACAGCTCTCAAAGTTAGGAAGTTCTTCCTCATGTTCAGGTGGAATCTCCTTTCCTGAAGTTTGAAGCCATTGTTCCACGTCCTAGTCTCCAGGGCAGCAGAAAACAAGCTTGCTCTCTCCTCCCTATGACTTCCCCTCACATATTTATACATGGCTATCATATCTCCTCTCCCTTCTATTCTTCAGGCTAAACATGCCCAGCTCTTTACACCCCTCCTCATAGGGCTTGTTCTTCAGACCCTTGATCATTTTAGTTGCCTTCCTCTGAACACATTCCAGAGAAAGCTGAAGACTGTAAAACTACAATACAGACAGTTTCCAAGTTATGAACAAAATAGGTTCTGTAGGTTTCTTTATTTTTTAAAAATAATTTTTATTAAAATTTACAAAAGTGATAACCACTTTTGTACAGTACAGCTGACACACATGACATTCACACTACAACATGTAAGACATCCCTCTTGCCCACATCCTACTCAAAGTTTACCCTTATCACACACTCATGCAGCCAGTACCTTGACTTCCATGCCTAGCCACTGTGGTGCCTATAACATTACTTATTTACCCGTCTGTTGTGTTTGCCCATACATTCCTCTTGGGACTATTTATCATTCACTTCTTTGGCTCGCCTTCCAGATATGTAGGTTTCTTCTTAAGCTGAATTTGTATGTAAGTCAGAACAGGTGCATTTTTAAGTATAACTCCAGCTATCTGTGTATGTGAGTGTGTGGAGAGAGAGAGAGCACTTTGGGTAGCATATGGAAGAGTTAACACCCCTGTGGTGTTTGTTTTGCTGTCTGTGCCCTTGTTCAGAAGATGTCATCTCACTTTCTGTCCCTGTGATAATAGAATTTTGACAAAATTGGCTTGTTGTGGAAACAAAGATTGGTGATGAAGGATCAGCTGGGATACTTTTCCCCATGATAACCCTTTCAGGAGTTAATTTCCTTCCCCAGGGGCAGATTTCTCTCACTTCCTGTTGTCTCAACCCCGTTTGTAACTATGAGGCGTTTGTAAGCCGCATGTTTGTAACTCAGGAACTGCCTGTACATTGCACTGTAGATAATTCTGGTTGTAGCCAGGAATGTGTACAGTCTGCACAAAGAAAGAAAAAAGCCAGATTCAGCAGAGATACCAAAAATGTGCTGTATTCTGTGATCTACAGGAATCATGCATACTTGTGGATATTTACTTATTTTACAGAATGCATTCTTTTGTCTCCTGGGTGCTTTTGCATCCCTAATGCTTCATATGAGTCAGTGGGATGCAGTTGAGTGTGGGAAAAATGTTGAGGAGACATTATGTTTGTAGACTGTTAAAGACTCTTTTTTAGCTATTGTATACTCAGTAGGGCTGGGCGGTTTCGTTTCGTAATTTCGTAATTCGTTAAAAATTCGTTATTTTTTTGATAACGCAGCGTTAACGAACCATTCAGGAGCAACTAAAAAACGAAACCAATCTTTAAATTCGTTTCGTAATTGTTTCGAATTCGTTTTGTATTCGTTTCGTTATCGTTTTGAAATCGTTTCGTTATTATTTCCACATGTCTGGGGCAAGTTTTATAGTTGTTGTTTGTTTAATCAGTGAAAAAAAATTATAAATATCACACCAACAGTCAACAACAGAGGGAGAGGGAAGCTTCAGAAGTTCCCCCTGTCCCATTTGGAGGTTTCTTAGCGTATTGCGCGGTCGCGTCCGCCATTAATGAATCGATTCGTAATTGTTTCGTAATTGTTTCGTATTGTTTTGTAATTTATGAAATTTCGTAAATATCGAACTTTTAAAAAGAAACATTTTGGAATTCTTTTAAAAATCGAAAAGCAAAAACCTCCAAAAAAAGAATCGATTTTAGAAACAAATTTTTCCGTGGTTGCCCAGCCCTAATACTCAGTGATATAGCAGTGGGTATCTGTACTTAACACACATTACCTTCACATTCACTATATGTATATTTATATCAGTCTAGACGGTTTTGCTGGAGGAAAATTCTAAGAGTGCCTTGGACCGCAAGAAGATCCAACCAGTCCATACTTCAGGAAATAAAGCCTGACTGCTCATTGGAGGGAAGGATAGTAGAGGCAAAGATTAAGTACTTTGGCCACATCATGAGAAGAAAGGAACGCTTGGAGAAGAGAATGATGCTGGGGAAAATGGAAGGAAAAAGGAAGAGGGGCCGTCCAAGGGCAAGATGGATGGATGGTATCCTTGAAGTAACTGTCTTGACTCTGAAGGAGCTGGGGGTGGTGATGGCCGACAGGGAGCTCTGGTGTGGGCTGGTCCGGAAGCGCCTGAACAAATAAACAACATCAGTCTACACTTTTGCACAAGATCCACAAGATGTGCATTCACAGCTACAAATACAAACAATGGCATCCATTGAAGAATAGGCACAGGTGATTTTATTTTCAAAAGACAAAATAGTCCACACAGGTCACTGAGATGTCGAGCTAATTTTTCTATTTTTACAGAAGGAAGAACAATACCTATGAACTGCCAAGGCATTGGGCCTTGGCAGTTCAAATATAATAATAATACAATATTATAATTATATATTTTATATTACATGTAATATTACTAATAATATTGCAATATAATGGTATAAGACAATGTAGTAATATATAATACTGATATTGTGCTATGCTAATAATGTAATACATTGTATATGTATGTGTGTGTGTGTGTGTGTGTGTGTGTGTGTGTGTGTGTGTATATATATATATATCTTGTAAGCTGAGTCCCCTTCGGGATGAGAAAGGCGGCATATAAATGTAGTAAAATAAATAAATAAATAAATAAATAAATAAATAAATAAATGGCAGAGGGTTACAAACTTTTGTGACACTTTTGCATACAATGTTGCAAACTGTTGTGACACTTTTGCATATCAGCTGCACGGTACAAGTGTGTTACGTGAACACTACCAAGAAATGACACAAATCTTGGAAAAGTATGTTTTATTTTGCAATTCATATTTTAAAATATATATATATATAAATGAGATATGTTTTGTCCCCATGAGAGCCTTAAATTGAAAATGGAAGCTCTTGGCCTCCTGTTTGCTAGGCCTGACTGATTGAGAATAGATGGTGTAAGTTCCCAACCCCAAAGAGCCCTTTGCTCTGAAATCGGTCAGTTCCTTGGACAGAAAATGCTTTTTGTGTGATATCCCCTTACTTA